ATACTATGTCTAGGCTTGAGTTAGACAAAAGATGACTCATTTAACTCTCGGATAGTTTAATTACCTATATGACTGAGAAACTTTATGTTGCTAGGGCTTAAGTCTATGCTAACTGTTATTTAAAGTAACATTTCTCAAGATAAAAATTAATGATCAAATTCTTTGAATGAAAAGCAAACTTTAATCTGTATTCCTACCATAGCTTTCTTCAAGGATATCTGATTTTAATCTCATTTGTCTATGAAAATCCGTTCAAAATGCCTCAAAATAGCTTAACCCAACAGTCCATCACATATTACTGAATTAATGGAGGCCTGATCAAATGATTGCAGAAGTAAAAATATATATTCAACTAAAGTATATGCTTACGAGTTTGGAAAACAGGCTTCTGGAAGCTTTGAGACCGCCGACTTAGTTAAGTTTGAAACTTTGGTAGATTCTGGCAGACAGGGTTCAGGACCGATGCCGTAGCAACTTGTTCCCTGCAGTCCATCCTGCTGGCTGATAGAATCTCCATTTGTCACAAAAGGATCCAGCGGTTCTTCATATTCCGATCGTTTTTGCCGACGCATAGTAAAACGATGCCTTCCTCTTGACCTTGCGCAGTTGCTGTGTGTTGAGACTGGTTTCATCATGCATTCTGTAAGGGTTTTATCATCAGTGATCTGCAATCTATTGGAACCATTTTGGTTCTCCGCCTCAGCCTCAGATGTCACCATAGTAGGCCTTATTGTGCTGGGGTATGTGTGTGGATCAAGCGAGTTTGGCCTTTGTCGGATAGGTGCAGAATTCCCAAAATTAGATTGGCGCAACTGCCATCTACTAGTTGATTTAAACAGATCGTGGAACCGGCGCATATGCCAGCTTTCTTTATTATCCTCCTTAATACTTCCGAAAGTGGCATTAGAGCCATTATCAAAAGCGAAGTCACCACAAGCATAGAATGCTCCATCTACAGGCAGGTGAGACTTCATTGTAGCACTAGCTTTAGTAGCCATAGTCCTTGCGTCTTGGCAGATAACAAGGTCCTCGATGAGCATGCGGCCGTCGCTCATTTGATCAAATATAGAGCTAGGAAGAGGAGTGGAAAATGCTCTAGTTCTGGAAGCCGAAAGCAAA